ACATGCAGGACGGTACATTCGCGTAATTGTTGAGCTTACCTCCATTTCGAGAGAAACTGTTTGGTGAAGGGACTCAAAGGTCGGTTCCACCAGAAGACGACGGCGGATTCCTTTTAAGCAGCTGTCTATTGGCTTTACTGGAACGTTCATGCTGACGCCGTTTCCGAGGAAATCTGCTCCGATTCCGGTGCAAACGTGCTAAGCTTTCATTCGTCCCAGGACGAACACCGCGACAACAAGGTATCATCTTTACAACCGAATTCAAGCCAACGACTAGCAGGATATTTTAGCTCAATTCCATTTCTGGTGGAACCGACCTTGGAATCTCTTCATTGAATACTTTCGCGTGAAATGGAAGTGAGTTCAACTATGCTAAACCGAGAGCCCTTGAAAGCCAGCTTTTCTACGCATTCACACCAAATGAAAGGTAGGTTAAAGTGGATTTTTCGCAAAAATTGGTGAAGTTACTTTTGTTCGGCATAAGTCAGCTTGGAAAATGAGCAATTCTTGACTAAGATTTAGGCGAGGTCAAAACTGCCTTTAAACCTGGACGCAGTTCACTGGCATCGTGAGGCCTACATGATGTGGCAAAAACTCGCCTTGAGCCACTCGGAGTGAGAAAATAGGAAGGAAATGAGCGGAGACGAGTAGTAAACAGTGCTCAATACTACTGGTGCTTGTACTGGCAATAATACTACTCGTGCTTCTACTGGCAATAACACTACTGGTGCTTCTACTGGCAATAATACTAGTGCTGCTTCTACTGGCAATAATACTGCTGGTGCTTCTACTGGCAATAATACTACTGGTACTTTTACTAGCAATAATACTACTGGTGATTCTACTGACAATAATACTACTGGTGTTTGTACTGTCAATAATACTACTCGTGCTTCTACTTGCAATAATACTACTGGTACGTCTACTGGCAATAATACTAGTGCTGCTTCTACTGGCAATAATACTACTGGTACTTCTACTGGCAATAATACTACTGGTACTTCTACTGGCAATAATACTACTGGTACTTTTACTAGCAATAATACTACTGGTGATTCTACTGACAATAATACTAGTGCTGCTTCTACTAGCAATAATACTACTGGTGATTCTACTGACAATAATACTAGTGCTGCTTCTACTGGCAATAATACTACTGGTACTTTTACTAGCAATAATACTACTGGCGATTCTACTGACAATAATACTACTGGTGTTTGTACTGTCAATAATACTACTCGTGCTTCTACTT